TCGATAGCGAGGAAAAGTATTGTAACAGTTTGACATATTGAATGAGTAACAATACAAGAAGATTGACTGAAACAATTCACTCGTTTCATGATCGATTTGTTAAGGAATATTTCAATCGCTTTCTTCCATTCATGTACTTCGCTTATCTACAAAATATGCTTCGATCACTCGGCGATCGAATATGTTTTGTTCAATGGTGCTAAATACTTTGACATAGATTGTAATCGAACCTACGATCGGATCGATCATCCGAAAGTGTTTTAAGTTCCAAATCTTTTCCTCTAAGATGTAGTTCTGCCATCTTCAGATAAGCTCATAAATGCAAATTATACATTTCCTCAACAATATATTTACGGAGTTGATTGTTATATTATAGGTTCAAATTCATCGATGTATTGTGTTTATTGCGAAAGTCAGTTTCTATTATTTTCAGAAGTAAATGAGCGAAAGATAAATTACAAAGTCGAAAATTGCGATAATTGCCACCAGTAAACTATTCCGATTCCGCAATTCTTTGAATTTCCATGTTGCATAAATCAAATTCAAATTGCCAAACATGCCTAGAATTAGCAGCGGTACCATAAATATTGCCACCGATGTCAGATTTGACATTTTTTTTTCCTGAAAAATGTTACCTTTGAATCCGTTCAACATCCTTAATTAATAAACATTAATAGACATCCTTAATTAATAGGTATCAAATAAATGATCAACGGAATTTTCGAATTTTCAGCCTTTGAATTGTCCCCTGATCCTAATTACATCTTCACATGACGTTAGTACATCCTTAACGTGCAAAATTTTTTGTGGTATTTTTTTTTTTGCAAATTTGATGGAATGAAAATACACGACAAAATGACTTTTCTTGCAAATTATTTTGGTACAAATTGTAAAAAGGAAAAAAAGTTAAAAATAATCTTTTTTCTGACAAAAAAAAAGTAAAAATAGTCATTTTTTTTTCTGCTTTAAAAATCTATCAGTCATTTTACTTATCAAATTAAATCTCAAGAAATGTTCGAATATTCTATTAATATAAAACGCACAAATACTCGATTTCCTTCTGATTCGATTAAACAATCTTGTGGTTGAGCTAGTTATTAGCCAGGCAAATAACCTTGTTTTTAATTCAATTCACTTTGAATGTGTTTCCATGAGCATTTCGTATTCGTCAAATTCAAATGAATTTCAAAGCCAAGGTACGGATAGCAGTAACAATACAGCAATACAGAAAAAGCCATCATTTTTTTCAAACTTCACTTCTTTAACTTTATTAATAACCGTAATTTCCAATTTTTCACTCATTTTCACAAAGGTTAAGCAAAAAACTGAACGAAAAGTTTCGAAATTCTGCAAGGAACTGTATAGTTATATCGATAAAACAGAAATGTTCTTCGTGCTAAATTACCAAAAATGTAGTTGGATAAACATCAAAAGTAATTTCATCCAGAAAACGAAAGCTATTCGGGCCAAAGGAAAGAAAGATTTAGAATTAACAGCATAAATTTAGAATTACTAAAGGAAGTCGAAATTATATATCTGAAGAAAAGAATCCAACAGAACTAGGATAATTTAAAAAATAAAGTGAATAAATATGATACATGTATGACTGAATGAAACAAGAACGATCTTATGGTTTTGAAAACGTTCAAATTGCTTTCTTAAGCAAATCTGAATTCAATTAGTGAGAGAGAATTCCGTCTAATCATCGCCAACTAAATAGGTATATACAGTAGAGAGATCTGTCTCAAAGTCTACATTTTATGATGATTACCTAAAAAAGCTGAAAATGATTAAGGACAGAACGATAGTTAATTACCGTAATAAATCAAAAGAGTAGAAAAAACAAAGCAAAACAAAATTCCTCTTTAAATGAAAAATAACGAAAATGAAGGGACGAAAGTGTAATTCATCTAAATAATTCGTTTAAATATGATGTGCTATTTTCTTCAACCAAACCTGATGAACACACTTTTATTCGCATCATTTATTATTATTATTATTATTATTATTATTATTATTATTA